ATCACACCCAACGATGCTCAGGGGTTACTCATGGCTCTGCACTCAGGAACTACCCCTGGTGGTGCTCAGGGGACCCTATGGGATGCTGGGAATCGAACCTGGGTCAGCCGTGTGCAAGGCAAAAGCCCTCCCCGCTGTGCTGTTGCTCCGGCCCCACAGTGTCATGATTTGGGACTGGGACCAAGCAATGCTTAGGATTTATTCCTGGCTCTGTGCTCAGGGGTCACTCCTAAAAAGTCTGGGGGCGGGGGCTGGAGCGATAGCATATCGGGTAGGGCGTTTGCCTTGCACGCAGCTGACCTGGGTTCGATTCCCAGTGTCCCATAGGGTCCTCCGAGCACTGACAGGAGTAATTCCTGAGTGCAAAGCCAGGAATACTCCCTGAGCATTGCTGGTGTGACCCAAAAAACAATAAATAAATAAATAAATAAATAAATAAAAGGTGGGGTTGTTGCTGGGGATCAAACAGGGGTTGGCCATGTGCAAGATGAATGCCTTATCTGCTGTGTCATCACCCCAGCCCCAGAAACCAAGTCTTAAAGGGACAGTCAGTGTGAAAGTGCAGAGAAGCTGTGAGTCCCCTATTAGGAGGTCTGAGGGGGAGTTCGGGGGAGAGGTTAGCGTGCTTGAAGGATGCATGGGGACGTGCCCGCTGTGTCTTCAAGCCATCAGAAGGAGGCCTAGAGGAGGGAGGGAAATCTGCTTCATGAGGGTAGAAGCGTCCTGTGCTGGAGGAAATGCAGGCCACGGTGGGGATGGACCCAGCCGGGTCACTTGGGGGCCTCATTTTGCTGGCCAGAGCTCTGGGGAGCCATCAAATGTCCTAGAGCAGGAAAGGCCTTTCCAGACAAACATGGAAACAGGGGCCAGAAAGATGATAGCACAGTGCGGAGGACGTTTGCCTTGCACATAGCCGACCGGGGTTCGATCCCCGGCATCCCATATAGTTCCCTGAGCACCGCCAGGAGTAATTCCTGAGTGCAGAGCCAGGAGTAACCCCTGAGCATCACTGGGTCACGGTCACTGTCCTCCCGTTGTTCATCGATTTGCTCGAGCGGGCCCAGTAACATTGTGAGACTTGTTACTGTGTTTGGCATATCGAATACGTCACGGTTAGCTTGCCAGGCTTTGCTGTGCGTGTGAAATACTCTCGATAGCTTGCCGGGCTCTCCGAGAGGGGCAGAGGAATCGAACTCAGGTTGGCCAAGTTGACTGCGTGCAAGGCAAGGGCCCTACCCACTGCGTGCTTGGGTAGTGATAGCACAGAGCTATCACTCTAGCCCATCACTCCTTCACTGGGTACGACCCAAAAAGAAAAAGAACAACAAAAAAAAAAAGGGAAAAAGATGAAAACAGTTGTGAGTTATGGGCCAGAGGAGTGACAGGGAGTCCTGTCAGGAAGGGGGTCCTTGTGACCGGGGTGGGGGAAGGCAAATGCGGGTAGGAAATTGGGGATGTGTTTGAGGTACACTAGGGCCATGTGAAGCTTCCTGGGCTCTCAGTGCCAGTTGTGCCAACCTATGACTGAGGCATTTAGCACTGGGCATGGGGGGCATGGGCTCAGGTGCGTCTCCGGGGCCCTGGGGCTCCAGGCGCACCAGGAGAAGATGCACCCCTGAAGATGGGACCATGGGCTGAGGGGGCCATGTGTAGGACTACTCGGCAGCTGCGTTAAGAAACAGCTTCCGGAAGAGGCTGAGCGCTGGCCACCCTCTGTGTTGGGGGCAGGAGAACGGGCTCAGTGGCCGAGGCCTCGGGGACCCCAGCTTTCCAGACGTGGCGTGCGTGCTCCCATCTTCCTACGACAAGTGCATGGGCAGCTCAAGGCTCGGGGGCCTCTGTGTCTGAGACCAGACACAAGTCTACCTGGGCAGACGGCAGTTTGCAGAAGCCGAGTCTGAAGGCAGAGAGCCCAGGGCTGAGATCCTCCAGCCTGCCGCTGTGACCTTGGCCACATTCCCAAGTCGACCCCTCACTACCTCCACTCCCCCGCGCTGCGCTCTGTTGTCTTGAAGGCTGAGGCGCTTCAAGACAATCAAGCGGAGTGAGTTCTGCACGCGCCAGCCGGGGAGGCTGAGTGCCTTCCCCTGAGAGTCACGCCACGCCAAGGACAAGCAGGCAAGCCACTTTCTCTGGCCAGAGCAGAGCCCCTCTCCCTCCATGGGATCCTGCCATCACTCTGTGGAACTAGCGTAGCACACTTAGGTTTTTTTTTTTTTGGGGGGGGGTGGGGGGGTTGGGGCCACACCTGGAGATGCTCAGGGCTTCCTCCTGGCTCTGCACTCGGGAATCACTCCTGGTCGACTTGGTGAACCATATGGGATGTTGGGGATCAAACCCTGGGTCGGGGGCTGGAGCAATAGCACAGCGGGTAGGGCATTTTCCTTGGACACAGCCAACCTGGGTTCGATCCTCAGCATCCCATGTGGTCCTCTGAGCACCGCCAGGAGTGATTCCTGAGTGCGGAGCCAGGAATAACTCCTGAGCATTGCTGGGTGTGACCCCAAAAGCAAACAATAACAACAACAGCAACAACAACAAACCCCAGGGTGGCTGCATGCATGGCGAGCACCCTAGTCCTTGTACTATCTGTCCAGACCCTCACACTCATTTTGTTGTTGTTGTTGTTTTTGGTTTTTGGGTCACACCCAGCAATGCACAGGGGTTACTCCTGGCTCATGCACTCAGGAATTACTCCTGGCGGTGCTCGGGGGACCATATGGGATGCCGGGGATCGAACCCAGGTCAGCTGCATGCAAGGCAAGTGCCCTACCCACTGTACTATCTGTCCAGCCCCCCACACTCATTTTATAGAGAACAGAAGCAAGGTACAGACCATTGCCATGACAGCCCCGGGAAACACTCTCTGGCTGTCAGCAGCGGGGAGGCCTGGAACTCTAATTCCTCACTCAGTGGAACTGGACCCTCCATAGAGGTGCCCCGTCCCCAGCCTATTAGGAGGTGGGAGGTCTGGGATGGGTGTGTGTGTGTTTGGGGGGGGGGTAAAGAATTACAGGCTCCCCCCCCCCCCACCCAGGCACAGTCCTGAAATGAGAAGTACAGTTCCCCTGGCAGGTGAAAAATATGTCTGGTTAGACACCACCCCTTAGTTTCTCACATTATCACATGGTGAAAATTCCCTTTTCAGTTCTCCTTGAAGCCTGGGGGCAGCAGGAAGAAGTGAGGCTCCCTAGGGTGCAGATCTTCAGCGCCCCTGCTCAAACCTTGCCAATCTCTCTTTCAGATTCAGGAACCCCTGAGGTCCAGTTCCCAGCCTGAGATTAATAATCCCGCTTGGCTCCTATTGTGTTTATTTTTTCCTCTTTATCTCCAATTGACGGCAAGGGATACTGGTTTCCCGGTCAAGACAGCGATAGAACGGTTGCCTTAAAAAAAAGAAAGAAAGAAAGAAAGAAAGAAAGAAAGAAAGAAAGAAAGAAAGAAAGAAAGAAAGAAAAGGGTTCAAGGAGCAGGGAAGGTGGGTCTTGGATTGAAAGACAGTATTAAGAACCGAGGTGGGAGGCTGGAAATAAAAGCTGGGCGGGCGCGTTTGCCTTGCAATCGGCTGACCCGGGTTCGATCCCGGGCACCCCTAGGGTTCCTCCGGGCCCCGTTGGGAGTGATCTCAGAGCGCAGAGCCAGGAGGGAGCCCTGCACATGCCTGGATGTGACCCCAACCTCAAAAACAACCGAGGCCGGCCCTCGTTATACTCTCCCACGTTTGAAGATGGGGAGGGTGGAGACCAAGGACGCGCGGCCGTCCAGGTCAGGGCTCTCTCTGCAAACCTCTACCAAGGCTCCGCCGGACCAAGGTGACTCTGCAGCCCCTTCTGGCCGCACGTGCCTGGCCCATGTGCCAGCCTGCGTGGCACAGAGAACCTCCGGAGGGAGGGAGCGGGCAGCTCGGGGCGGGCCGGCTGGGCACCTGCGCTGGACCGAGGACCCGGCGCCAGCCGCCGAGAACGCCGGGGACCACCGCGGGTCACCTGCGATCGTGGCCCCGTGCGTGGGGGGAGCGTGTGCAGACGTCAGCCTGCGGGACCCGTGTCGCCTTCCGGTCACGGTGCGAGCCCCCTGCGCCCCGGCTGTCCCCCGCCCCCGCTACCCGCGCCCCACGCGCCCAGGCACGCGGAGCTCACGGCTGCGGGGCCCGGGGCCCGCGGGGCGGGGCCGGGCGCGGGACCCGCCGCCTATTGGCCGAGCGCACAGCCGGGGGCGGCGCCCGGGCCGCGGGACCCGTCGCCTATTGGTCGATCGCAGAGTCGGGGGCGGGGCGCCGGGCGCCGGCGGCCGAGCCGCTTGCGGAGGCAGAGGCGGGCTCGGGGCTGCTCCGGGGACCGCGGCCCGGGGGTCCACGCAGGGGCGCGGAGGGCGCTCTGCAGCCGGGACCGACGCCCCAAGAACTGGGCTTCCACACTTCTCTTTTCTTTTTTTCCGCCTTCTCCCCGAGGGACCGGCTCACCTCGCCCCGCGGCGCGGGCGGCGCGGAGAGGGGGCGGCTGGGGCGCGGGAGAGGGGCGGAGCGAGGGGCCGGGGCCCGGCAGAAAGTTCGCCGCCTCTGCGGGTCCCGACGCGGTGCCGGGGGCCAGGGCGAGCCGCCCGCAGCCTGACTCGGAGCTGCCGAGCCTCGTGGCCTCTCGGGGCGGCGTTCCGGGGTCCCCCCTCCCCGCCCCCCCATCCCCAGCCGCGCGCGCGCGCGCGCCGCCCCGAGCTGCACCCCGCGCCTGCTGCAGCTGCTGGTGGCGCCCGGCGGGGACACAGGGACCGTCCCCTCCCGCACGGGGACCGCTGCCGAGCCGCGGGCCCAGCGGGAGGCCGCGCCCGAGCCGCGCCGCCTCGTTCCCCGCGCGTCCGCCTTGGAGCGACGGAGCGTCCCCGCACCCCGGACCTCCCCATCCACCCTAGGCGGCCAGCCAGCCGGGACACGCACACACTGTCACCTCCGGAGGCCCCTCCGGGCGTCTCGAAGGACCGTCTTTAAATCCCCGAAGGCGCCCCCCTCGGCGCCCTCCCCCGCAGCCCCGGAGCCCCAAACGGGGACCCCGGGATCGGACGTCCCCGCGCCTCCGGGCACCTGGCTCAGCCGGAGTCCCCCGGGTCGGGGCAGGGCAGGGCCGGCAGTGGCGAGCCGGCGCCCGCCCGGCTCCCCGACCCCAGCGAACCCTCGGAACCCAGCGATGGGGCACTGGCTCCCCGCGCGCCCTCGCCCGGCCGCGCCCTGCCCGGCGCCCCGGGGCGCGCCGACGAGGAACCGGGCGCAGTGACCACGGAGCCGCCGCAGACGCTGGAAGGCGCGGCGGCCGCGGGAGAGGCAGGCGGGTCCCCGCACCGCCCCGCGGCGCCTCCAGGCAGCCCTCCGAGCCGCGCCAGAGGCCTGGCCCGCCATTCCCAGGTAGGAGAGAGACGCCCCAGTAGAGTTGGGGGCCCCTGGGTCTGGAGCCGGGGAGGCGGGAGCATGACCAGGGTTGTGGAACCATCCAACGCCGCCGCCGCCGGGGGACGGGGCCTTTCCTTGGCGAGCTTGTCCCGTGTCCTGGGCTGGGTACCCGGAGCACCCGTCAAAGAGAGGAAAACGAGGCACACCCAACCAACACCCCTCCGTGCACCCCTGGATGGAGATGGGGCAGCGATGGGGCCTGTGGGTGCTCCCAACCCCAGCCCTGGGTGAGCACTTCTTTTGTGATATTTCCTTTTGGGGCTTGACCCCAAGCCCGAGAGTATCTCAGCGTCATCCACACATCCGCGGGATATTTTGTTCCCAGCGCTTCCTGGGCCCGGGGAAGTTCCCAGAGCGGCAGCTGGTGTCCAGGCTAGGACATGGAGTGAGCCTTGTGGCCAGTTCCTTTCCCCAGGAAGCGGGGAACCTATCCTCAACAGGCCTGAGATCTCTTGTCCATTCCCACCCTTCATCCTTCACCCCTGACGGGCTCTCTCGGTCCTCTGTGCCCCCAGCCGGGGAAGCTTCGAGAAGGATGTAGTCTGGGACCTCTTGGGAGAGGGGCAAAGTAGCTTAGATGCCCATTTCAGGCAGCCTCCCTCAATGCCAGTGAGACAGGTGGGTTCCCCAAGATCTCTGCTCCTCCCAGCGGTTCCGAGCTGGGACCTTCCAAGCTCTCCTTGGATAGTTCCATACTGTGCCCCTCTCATCACTGCCTGACGCCCCCAAGGCTCTGAGTGATTGAGTGGTCACTTCCGCTGGCCTGCCCCTCCCCTTCTCAGTGGCCAGAGTGGGGAGCTCACCCTGGTCCAGCCTCTAGGGGTTCCCTCACTGTGGGCCCCGGGGCGAGGGACGAAACCTATGTTCACAGGGTCCTGAGAACCTCGCATGTGTCTGCTGCAGGGGACGGGAGGTGTGGGGGAGGGCAGGGGTGGGCATGGTCTCCTCGCCCATCCGTGTCTTCCGCCTTCCAGACAGTCCCCCCCAACCTGGGGTCTCAGGGGAGGAAGGGGAGGGGCCTCCTCAGATGCCCTTGATGGGAATTGGCACCCGGGCACACTCCCTCCCCCCGGCTCTCTGGATGAAGAGGGAAAGGGAGGGTGACGGCCTGGGGGGTCACCCCCACCTGCAGGAAGCTGCCACCGTACCATGCCAGGCGCTGCTTCCACTCTGGGGCTGGGGGTAATGGGGGTCAGAGACCTCGGCTGCGACCTGGCGGCCTGTCCTCTGGGTGAGTCGGGTCAGCAGCCTGGCCCTCCAGCCTTTGCTGTCCCACTGGCGGGCCCGCGGGAGCCTCTGGAATCAGATACGTGTAGTGTCCACTGGACAGCGGCCTCCCGCTGTGGGCTATCCCCCCCCCACTCCCAGGACCATCAGCCCCCAAGTCCCCTGGGTGGGAGAAGGTCAGCAGGAGCCCCGCACACCCTGCTTGTGAGAACTCATGCTCCTCAGGAGCACTGGAAACTGCCAGGGCCTCCTGAGCACTGCCCCCAGCCCAGGTCTGCTCTGTGTGGGCTCGGCCTGGGTGGGGGGTGTCTGGACCACTCAGCCCCCGTGGTCGGGGCCACGTGACGCTCTCAGGGAAAAGGTGTAGAGTTTCCCCTTACCCATTTCTCACTTTCCACCCTTCTTCCTCTCTGCCTCCTGCCTCCTCTCTCTGACTCCCTGGCCTCCTCTCTCAGACTCCTGACTTCTTACTCCCTGCCTTCTCTTTCTCTCTGTCTCCTCTCTCTGACAGCTGGCCTCCACTCTCTGACTCCCTAGCCTCCTCTCTGGCTCCTTGGCCTCCTCTCTCTGACTCCCTGCCTCCTTTCTCTGACTTCCTGCCTCCTCCCTCTGTCTCTCGACACCTCTCTCTAACATCCTCCAGCCCCGTCAGTCATGCCCTTAGCAGATCTTGAGCCAGGAGCTGGGCGGGGTGGCGGAGAGAAGCCCTGAGCTGGCCACAGCCTCCCTCGTCCTCGTCTGGCCAGGGGTGATGTCCAGCAGGGCCGGGCTCCCTGCCAGAGGGGCTTGGAGAAGGCCTCCCTGGGGCCTGGCCTCTCCCTCTGCTCCCTGCCCGGGACGGCCCAGACTGGCCCCCCAAGCCCGAAGAAGACTAAGGAGGCTGTTACCACCCCCCCACTCTCCCCACTTACAGTTGGGGGGATGCCAAGACCCTCCTCATCCTGCCCCTGGGCCAGCCCAGCAGGCAGGGGTGGAGATTCAGACCCCAGGAGAGGGTGGGGGGAGTCTGTGCAGCCTTCACACGTCACTGGCCAAACGCTCGCTGCGTGTGTGGGTCTGCGGTCCTGGAGATAAATGTAGAACTGAGGGTCCCGGAGGGGGGTCAGTGGGGGTGAGGGTCCCATATGGGTTTCAGTGGAGGTGAGGGTCCGGGAGGAGGTTTAGTGGAGTGGGGTGAGGTTTCAGGAGATGGTTCAGTGGGGGTGAGGGTCCCGGAGGGGGCTCACTGGGGCGAGGGTCTGGAAAGAGTTTATTGGGGTGAGGGTCTGGGAGATGGTTCAGTGGGGTGAGGGTCCTGGAGGGGGTTCAGAGGTCAAGCACATGCCTTTATGTGTGACTCCTGTTTCCTTTCCATCCCTGAAGAATAAATAGGCACATTTAGCTCCAGCTAGACCTTGGTGTATGTGTGTGTGTGTGTGTGTGTGTGTGTGTGCGTGTGTGTGTGTGCTGCTGGGCCCTAACCTTGGCTGCCTAACCCCGTTCCCCCCCGGGTCCTTATTTGAAAAGCAGGTAACCCCTGGGAGCTGAAGGGAGACTCGGAGCCTACCAGGGCGATGCAGCCGTGATCCCGTTGCTGACTTCCTCTTGCCTCAGTTTCCCCATGCGGAAGCCGGGGCAGCTCCATCTACCCCTGGGCTTACCGTGGGGATGAGGCAGGCTCCCTGCCGGGCCCAGCACCCAGAGCGCGCCGGCATCGCCGAGCTGCGAGATAAATGTCAGCTATTATTATTGCTCTATACTTAGTTCTGAGCCTGGCACTCGGGAGCGATGATTGTCATCCTGGCCCCCGGCCTGGGTCACCAGCACGCCGAGCGCCTCCTGCTGCGGGTCCCTCTGCCGCCTCAAGTCTGTCGAAGGCTCCTTGGAAGCTGGGACGTGGCCGCGACAGCTGCTTCCCGATCTCGGGGCATTTTCCAAGCAGTTTTGCTCTTGGAAGAGGGGTTCAGTGCTCGCCAGCTCACAGGCAGGGTCAGCCCGTGCCCAGACCCCAGAGCCTAGACCCGCACGCGGGAACCTGCCCTCTGCCAGGAGCCAGCCTCCTGTGGTTGTGTGCAAGGAGGGTATAGGAGGAGACAGTCTTTTTTTTTTCTGGGAAGTTCCCTTTTGATTTTTATGTATTTATTTATTATTGAATCACCGTGAGACACAGTTACAAGCTTTCCTGTCCGTGAGACACAGTTACAAGCTTTCCTGTTTGAGTTTCAGTCAAACCATGTTCAAACACCCATCCCTCCACCAGTGCACATTCTCCACCATCAATGTCCCCATTATACGCCCCCCCCTTCCAACCCTCCCCCTGCCTCTATGGCAAACAGTTTCCCCCCATACTCTCTCTCTAGTTTGGGGTGTTATGGTTTGCAGTACAGATACTGAGAGGCCATCACGTTTGGTCCTTTATCTACTTTCAACACACATCTCCCATCCCGAGTGATCCCTCCGACCATCATCGACTAAGTCATCCCTTCTCTATCCCAGCTGCCTTTCCCCCCAGCTCATGAGGCAGGCTTCCAACCATGGAGCAATCTTCCAGGCCCCTGTCTCTACTGTCCTTGGGTGTCAGTCTCATATTATGCTACTTTATATTCCACAGATGAGTGCGGTTCTTCTATGTCTGTCCCTCTCTTTCTGACTCATTTCACTTCGCATGATTCTCTCGGAGGAGAAAGTCTTGCCTCAGGATCAGGAGATGAGGTGTTCCTGGCCAGGGCGTGCGTGTGTGGACCTTGGCATCAATGAGGAGGAAGGTGCCTCCTTCCCAAAGATTGACAAGTAGTCAGGAGCCTTGGGCAGTGCACAACCTGGGCAACCATTCCTGGCAGCCCATCTAGGACTGAGGCTGGATAGTTCAGCAAGCAGCTCTTCTTTTTTATTTTTTATTTTATTTTATTTTTTGCTTTTTGGGTCACACCCGGCGATGCTCAGGGGTTCCTCCTGGCTCTGCACTCAGGAATGACTCCTGGCAGTGCTTGGAGCACCCTATGAGATGCTGGGAATTGAACCCGGGTCAGCTGTGTGCAAGGCAAACGCCTTCCCCTCTGTGCTATCTCTCTGGGCCCGACAGCTCTGTTTTTGCTTTCTTTCCACCCCTAATGTGGACAGGGTGGGAGTGAGAAGGGGCGGCCTGAGCTTTTGTTTTCAGAGACTCTGAGTGTAAGCCCCTCCAGACAGGCAGATCTCAGCGAAGCTGGAATGAACTCGGTCGGCTGGAGTTCAGTGCTTCCGGGAGGCCCCAGGGGGCTGAGATGGGAAAGGAGGCTGGGCTGCGAGTGGCCTGGGGGGGCCTGAGAGAGAGAGTCCCAGAGTTTGGCCCTCTGCGAGGCTGAGAGGCCCTCAGGGAATGTTCCAGATGTTCTTCAGGACAGCAAATCCTTGAAGGGCAGAAGGAAGTGTCGGGTGGGGTCTCAGAGGCGTTTCTCTGGGTATCTGGGTAGGGACAGAGGCGCTGGGGGGGGGAACCCTGGTGCTCTGAGCAGTGGGCAGTGTTCGGGGACCCCCAGATGTTGTGTTTGGGGGGGTCACAGGGTCCTGGAAGGGAGGGGGCAGGGAGAGAGGATTCTGGGGAGAGCCCAGAACGGGGCCCCGAGTTCCCCACAGATGAGGAAGTGACCCGGGACACTGGGATTACTGGCTCAGAGGAGGCTCGGTGGGGGTTCCCCGCCAGAGCCCCCCTCTCTTGTGTGTCGAATATGGGGTGTGGGATGGAAGGAGGATGTGAGGAAGTGAGGCAAGGAGTGGATGGGGAAGAATCGAGAGAGGACTGAATGACTGAGTGAATGAGTGAATGACTGGGATGCCTAGTCCCACATCCCTGTTTTCTAGTCAGAAAATGAGACCAAGAGGGACCGGAGGGGCTGGAGCAATAGCACAGTGGGGAGGGCGTTTGCCTTGCACGTGGCCGACCCGGGTTTGGTTCCCAGCATCCCATAGGGTCCCCCGAGCACCACCAGGGGTCATTCCTGAGTGCAGAGCCAGGAGGAACCCCTGAGCATCGCCGGGTGTGACCCAAAAAGCAAAAAAAAAAAAAAAAAAAAAAAAAAAAAGAAGGACTGGAGCGATAGCACAGCGGGGAGGGCACTTACTTTGCAGGCGGGTTCGATCCCCGGCACCCCATAGGGTCCCCCGAGCCCCACCAGGAGCGAACCCTGAGCATAGAGCCAGGAGTCAGCCCTGAGCATTGCCAGATATGGCCCCCAAATCAAAAAAAGGGGTGGCTGGAGAGATAGCACAGCGGGGAGGGCATTTGCCTTGCACACGGCCAACCCGGGTTCAATTCCCAGCATCCCATAGGGTCCCCCGAGCACCGCCAGGAGTAATTCCTGAGTGCATGAGCCAGGAGTAACCCCTGTGCATTGCCGGGTGTGACTGGGTGACCCAAAAAGAAGGAAAAAAAAGAACTTAAAAGAGAAAACAAGTTCAGGACTGGGATGGGGGAGTGGCCGCAGCCGAGAGCCCCCCACTGCCGGGGTCTCCTGACTTCTTCCTGCTCCCCGCTGCAGCCCCGGGCCATGATGAAGACGCTGTCCAGCGGGAACTGCACGCTGAGTGTGCCGGCCAAGAACTCCTACCGCATGGTGGTGCTGGGCGCCTCGCGCGTGGGCAAGAGCGCCATCGTGTCCCGTTTCCTCAACGGCCGCTTCGAGGACCAGTACACGCCCACCATCGAGGACTTCCACCGCAAGGTCTACAACATCCGCGGCGACATGTACCAGCTGGACATCCTGGACACGTCGGGCAACCACCCCTTCCCGGCCATGCGCCGGCTCTCCATTCTCACCGGTGGGTGCCGGGGGGCGGGGCTGGGGGGGTCCCCAGGGCACCGAGGGTGGGATGTGGGCGTGGCTGACTGTCCGGGTGGAGCTCAGACCTGCACAGAGGGAGTTGGGGGTGAGATAGGGGGGCTCCTTCCACCCCTGCCTGGTCCCCCACTCCCGCCATCTGTCTGCGTGCCCGCAGGTGAGACCCCAGAGGACAATTCGGGGGAAACCAAGCTGGCCACTGCCGCTCCCTCTTCTGAGCCGTGGCCCCGTCCCGTGGCCTGGCCAGGGCTAGTTCCAATCCGTTTGCTGGGCTCAGGCCCCGACTCCCCAGGAAGCTGGAGAGGGAGAGGCAGGACCCCAGGATGGGTCCAGCCCCAAGAAAAGTGAGAATCTGCCTGGGGCAGGGACTAATAATGGCGGGAAATAGGGAGGCTGGACGCTGGCTGGAGGTTGGTGGGTGTTAATGTTCACTGAGAGCTTCCGGCTCCTGTTGCTTTTTCATTTCAAGCATCCATTCATTTCTTCTTCATTTTTGTTGTTGTTGTTTTTTTCCTCGGGGGCGAGGTGGATGGATCACAGCCCGCGATGCTCAGGGCTGACTCCCGGCTCTGCACTCAGCAGTTACACTCCTGGCGGGGCTCCAGGGACCCTATGGGGTGCCCGGGATCGAACCCAGTTGGCTGCATGCAAGGCAAATTCCCTCCCCGCTGCACTCATGCTCCGGGCCCCAAATAGGAACTTCTTTAGTTTGGATTTTGGGGGACTCACTCGACAGTGCTCAGGGGTTCCTCCTGACTCTGCACTCAGGAATTCCTCCTGGCGGGGTTCCAGGGACCCCGTAGGATACGGGGGGATGGAACCCGGGTCAGCCGCATGCCAAGGCAAGCGCCCCACCCGCTGTGCTATGACTCACGGCGAGCCCAGGACAGCGGTACTGGCTTCCGTTTTACAGGTGGGGAAACAGAGACCCAGAGAGGGTGAGTTGTGCCCAGGGGGGTCACGCCGCCCGCTGGCTGTGCTGCCGAGCCGGGGCTGTCAAGGGGGGATGGGGCGGGGACCAGACTGTCACTCACTTCACTTGGTGGCACCTTCTGCTGCTTCCTGATTCTGTCCCCAGATGGGAAGGGTGATACCTCCGTTTCCCCGCCTGTAAATTGGTTTCTCCCGAGGATGAAACGCGCCGCTACAGTGTTGCCGAGCAGAAACTCAGCAGGGCCTGCGTTCTGACTGGAGATTGGACCAGCGTTGGCAGGGTCCCTGCCCCCTCGCCACGCCACACAGGGCTGAAGGGAAGGGAGATGGCAGCTGTCCAGCCATCTCGGAAATGACACCCCCCCTACCGCTCGCCCCGGCCTAGACCCCTCCTCAAGGGTCCTGTCCTCCTCCAGGAAGCTTTTTTTTTTTTTGCTTTTTGGGTCACCCCCCAGCGATGCTCAGGTGTTACTCCTGGCTCTGCATTTAGGAATTACCCCTGGCAGTGCTCGGGGGACCCTATGGGATGCTGGGGATCGAACCTGGGTTGGCCACGTGCAAGGCAAATGCTCTCCCCGCTGTGCTATCGCTCCAACCCTCCAGGCAGCTCTTGATGACACCCTGGACCCAGATTATGCTACTGCCTCCCCTCCACCATAGGGAGGAAGGACATGAACAGAGGGGACCCCGAGTTCGAGTCCCGGCTCTGCCATTTTAACAAAAAGCCCCCACTCCTGAAGTCAGGTCTTACCTGTCCCCCGTGTGTCCCCCAGATGGACGGAAACCGAAGGGGTGGTGGAGGTCAGTACACAGTGGGTATTGCAGAGTCCACTCTGCCAGCCTTGCGGGGGAGGGGTGGGTGCCCACTCACAGACCTCAGGCCTAGTCAGAGGGAATGACAGCTGGGGAGGGATTGTGAGCCTTTTTCTAACTCCCACTTTTTTTTTTTTTTTGCTTTTTGGGTCACACCCGGTGATGCTCAGAGGTTCCTCCTGACTCTGCACTCAGGAATCACTCCTGGCGGTGCTCGGGGGACCCTATGGGATGCTGGGAATCGAACCCGGGTCGACCGCGTGCAAGGCAAACGCCCTATCTGCTGTGCTGATGTGCTGTTTATTATTAGTCTCTTTCCGGTGTGTGGGAGGGACTTACACCTGGCATAGGCAAGGCACATCTGTCTGTGCTCAGGGCTCACTCCCGGCTCTGCGCTCGGGGGTCACTTACTTCCGGAGGGGCTCTGGAGACCCTATGATGTGCCAGAGATGGCGTCCAAGGCGGCTGTGTGCAGTGACAGGCAAGTGCTCTTCCCACTGCATCATGGCTCCAGCCCCTTCGTTATGATTCTTTTTTTTTTCTTTCTTGGGTCATACCCGGCGATGCACAGGGGCCACTCCTGGCTCTGCACTCAGGAGTTACTCCTGGCGGTGCTCAGGGGACCATATGGGATGCTGGGGATCGAACCTGGGTTGGCCGCGTGCAAAGCAAACGCCCTCCCCGCTGTGCTATCGCTCCAGCCCAACCCCTACTTTCTTAGGCCATGTTTGGGGGCTTGGGCAGGGTGCAGGCCTACAGGGATTGGGGGCCCCAGCACCACTCCTGTCGGTGCTCAGGAGCCCCCAGATATTGGCGACTGAACTCATGGCCTCACATAGGCACCCAAACACACAAATGCCTGCAAGCTGGAGATGAAGGGACTGGGAGAGAGAGGAGAAGGTCCAGGGGTCAGGGTGCAGAGAGGGGTCAGGATGTAGGCCTTTTTTGAGGGAGGGGGGCACCCCTGGCAGTGCTCACGGCTTACTCCCAGCTCTGCACTCAGGGATCACTCCTGGCGGGGCTCAGGGCTTACTCCTAGCTCTGTGCTCAGGGACCAGTCCTTGTAGGGCTCAGGGGACCCTGTCACATGCCGGGGCTCGAACCCAGGTTGGCCACCAGCCCCGGGATGCCGGCCTTGCACGCAGCCAGCCCTGATTCCATCCCCAGCACCACATGATCCTCCGAGCACTGCTAGGTGTGGCCCTGGGGGGCCTCAGAGTGGCTTCGATAATCCAGGGCAGTCCCTGGAGCACTGTACTCCTGAGCATCAGTCCCTGGAACACTGTATTTGTGAGCTGTCCCCCGCATTGAGTCACAGGTTTTGTTCACCTCAGCGCTGCTTGGGGGTCCCCTTCCCCAGACCCATATGGATGAAATTCAAAAGCCCACCGGCCCCTGCTCCTGTCCCGGGGGTGGCCACCCTGTCTGGGAGCCCCCGGAGACACGGGGACAATCCTGTTGGTGTTGCTGGGTCAGAGTGGCTCCAGCTGTGTCCTTCTGAGCACATGTGGCTGTGGCTGGACTCTCTTACACACCCACCAGGAAGGCCTGGAAACTGTCCACTCCTCCCTACTGTCCCCCAGAAGCTGAGCATCTCCCGTCTTGTGCTGGACTATGTTGAGGCAGCTCGAGTCCTTGGGGGCCCAAGAATAGCCACATGGAAGAGGCAGCCCCGGTGGAAACTGAGGCCAGGCTGGTGCTTCCTGGCTGGAACTTATCAGAAGAGGCCTCACCACCATCCATCCGTCCATCCATCTGTTCATCCATCATCCATCCATTTGCCTATGCTTCCCCATTCGTCCATTCATCCCTCCATTCATCCATCCGTCCATCCATCCATCCATCCATCTATCCATCCATCTGTCTTTTCACTCATCTATCCACGTATCCATCCATCCATTCATCTATTCATCCATTCATTCATTGGTCCATCCATCCACCCGTTCATCCTTCCATCCATCCATCCATCCATCCTCCATCCATTAATTCATCCATCTAACCATCCATCCATCCATCCATCCATCCGTTCATCCATCATCCATCCATCTATTTTCCTATGCTTCCCCATTCATCCATTCATCCCTCCCTCCATCTATCCATCCATCTGTCTTTTCACTCATCTATCCACATATCCATCCATCCATTCATCTATTCATCCATTCATTGATTCATTCATTGGTCCATCCATCCACCCATTCATCCTTCCATCCATCCATCCATCCATCCATCCTCCATCCATTGATTCATCCATCTAACCATCCATCCATCCATCCATCCATTCATCATCCATCCATCCATCCATCTATTCATCCATCCATCCATCTATCCATTCATCTGTCCATTTATTCATTCATCCCCCCCCACCCATTTATTCATCTCTCCATCCTCTGTCCCCCACCCCAACCACAAACCAGTTTTATGGACACACACTCACCTCCCTCACCATGTGCTGTGCCCCAAAGGTGTTCCACGCTCACTGATCATAGCGGGGCTCTGACCCAGGGAGGGAGATGAAAGGAGGGGCACGTGGCATGTTCAGGGGTGCCCCAGGGAAGGAGACAGGGCAGGCTGAGAGTACCCTGACCCTTCTCTTGAGAAACTGGGCAGATGACTCACCAAGTGGATCATAACCATGATTCATTCTGTTTTGTTTGTCTGGGCTGTACCCAGTGGTGCTGGGTGCTGGGGGCCTACTTCTAGCTCAGTGCTCAGGAATCGCTCCCTGTGGGGGTTCAGGGGACTCTATGCAGTGCCGGGGATCGAACCTAAGTTGGCTGTTTGCCAGGCCAGCGCCCTACGAGCTGTATTGTATCACTTCAGTCCTAGAATGCGCCACATATGTGGCTTTTGGTTTTGGTTTTTTGGTTATTCCCATTGGTGCTTCGGGCTTATATTCCTGGCTCTGTGCGCAGGAGTCACTCCTGGTGGCTTTGGGGGTCCATCTAGGGTGCCGGGGATTGATCTGTCTTGACTGCGTGCAAGGCAAACGCCTTCCCCGCTATTGAATATCGCTGGATCGCTCTGGCTCCAGATTGTGGAGGCTCCTGGCATAGAAAAATGACCACAGGGATGGGGCGGGGGGGCAGGACCCGAGAGCCAGACTGATGCTCATGCCCTGCCCCCCCTGCCCCCGTCTGCCCCCATGGGCGTCCCTTCCCCGCAGGTGACGTCTTCATTCTGGTGTTCAGCCTGGACAACCGGGACTCCTTCGACGAGGTGAAGCGTCTGCAGAAGCAGATCCTGGAGGTGAAGTCGTGCCTGAAGAACAAGACGAAGGAGGCGGCCGAGCTGCCCATGGTCATCTGCGGCAACAAGAACGACCATGGCGAGCTGTGCCGCCAGGTGCCGGCCACCGAGGCCGAGCTGCTGGTGTCGGGCGATGAGAACTGTGCCTACTTCGAGGTGTCGGCCAAGAAGAACACCAACGTGGACGAGATGTTCTACGTGCTCTTCAGCATGGCCAAGCTGCCCCACGAGATGAGCCCGGCGCTGCACCGCAAGATCTCGGTGCAGTACGGCGACGCCTTCCACCCCCGGCCCTTCTGCATGCGCCGCCTCAAAGACACAGACGCTTACGGCATGGTCTCACCTTTCGCCCGCCGCCCCAGCGTCAACAGCGACCTCAAGTACATCAAAGCCAAGGTCCTGCGGGGCGAGGGCCAGGCCCGCGAGCGGGACAAGTGCACCGTCCAGTGAGCAGGAGGGGGCCCGGGCAGTGCCTTATGGGAGGTGGCGCCCGGTGCCCGCTGCCTGCATCAGCCCCACCCCGACCCCCCGCCGACTACCAACACCCCCCCCCACCGAGACCACTCTTGTTTGAAGACCCTCGGCACCAGAGAGCAAGAGTCCAGCCTCTGGCCATTCTCCTGCTTTCTTACCGTTTCCCTTCCATGCCTTTGTACCCATCCCCGCCCCATGCCCCCCCCCATATCATGGTTTTGCCCCTTGGGGGAGGCGGGGGACATGAAAGGGACACATCTCTGCAGGGTTAGTGACAGACAAGGGTCTGGGCTGAGACAGCCACCCAGGTCACTTCTGACCTGTGGGCTGCGTGAAAGGCCAGTGCTGCAGGGCCCAGGTTCCCTGCCTTCAGCGGAACCTTCTGGAACAACCCCAGAACCAACACGCGGGACTTCCCAGTGCTCAGAGAGGAGAGGTCTCTGTGGCAGCTGGGAGACCTCCGTTTGCCCGATCCCCCAGCCCCAAAGAAAGTCTTTCCCCTCCGGCTCAACTGTGGCCCCCACCTGCTGCCCCTGGTGTGGAGACAGGGGCATGAGCGTGTTCCGGAGATGGGTGCAGTCACCCCTCCACCCTATGCTCAGCCTCCCTGCGCCCTTCTTGCAGATATCCCCCTGCGGAATGTAGTGGTTGGAATGGAAATCCTTGTACTGTAAAGGTCCAGGGCCCGCCCAGTGCAGACCCACTGTGTCCACCAAGGCCCTCCTCGCTCCTTGACTGGGTGCTGTCTGCAGCTGGACACTGCCCGCAGGAGCTTCACGTTTCCAGGACCTGGCACCAGCCCAGCCTGGAGGTGCCTCAACCTCAATCTAGAAGAGGAGGCGCCCAAGGGTGTGAGGTGGTCCCGCCTCTCCTGGCCTGGCCCCGCCCTCCAGGCCCGGGTTCACCCACCCCACGGGCTGGGCTCCGCCGTAGCCTGGCCTGGCCGTGCCCTAGTCTGACCTGGCCCCTCCCCTTCGCTGGAGCCTGGCCACGCCCAAGTCTGGCCTGGCCCCGCCCCTCTTCTGGAGCCTGGCCCCGCCCCTATCCTGGCGCTTGGCCACGCCCTGCTCCAGCCTGGCCACGTCCCAGTCTGACCTGGCCCCGCCCCTCTTCTGGCGCCTGGCCACGCCCTGCTCCAGCCGGGCCACGCCCCAGACTGGCCTGGCCCCGCCCCAGTCGGGCCTGGCCCCGCCCCTCCGCTGGAGCCTGGTCCCTCTTCCTGTGCGCTCCTTCCTGGAGCGTTTATTGAGCACCTGCTGGGTGCTGGGTCCACTGTGTGCTAGGAAACAAAGAAGGGGCGCCATGCGCTTTACACCCCCAAGCCAGGGCCTTTCCCAGCTGGGGTCTCCTGCCCGAACAATGCCCCCACTCCCCGGGTGGTGAAGGCATCCCTGCCCTGAGGATCTCCCCCACGTGCTGTCCTGGGTGCCAGGCGCCGAGGGATGTGATCCCATAGACCAAAGGCCTTGTCGTTAGCTCCTAACAAAATCCTTTTTTATTTCCGAATCCAGAAAGTGTTGACGTGTAGGGCCGCAGGGAACCCTTAGCAATTGTGACTCTAGGAGGAGGCCCAGAGAGGGGAAGTCACTTGCCCCAGGTCACAAAGCGAGCCTGGGACAGGCAATACAAGCAGGGCTCTCCCTCTCTCCCAGACGCTGCCCCGGCCCCTGGGCCTTGGGGGATTTGAGGCGTCTAGTCCCAGTCCCCCGCCCTCCCCTTGGCTCCATCTTTGCCGGCTCTGTGTACTTCATGCCCTGTACATAAGCGTGGACACACCTGCACCCACAGAGGTGACATATCCTGGCACTCCCCATTCAGCGCATCCTCCACCCCCGCCCGGTGCCCGCCTCTCCGGGCTGCAGCTGTGCCCTGCTTCTCTGCCCCCTGCGTGGCCGAAACCCTCCAAACAGACCAGTGACCTTGGCTATGACGGGTGAGGTGTCGGGGTCTCCTCATGACACCTCGCGCCACCCCTCCCCCTAGCTCTGCGCGCGCGCACACACACACACACACACACACACACCAGCCATTAAAGTGGGTTTGTTTGTAAGCTGTGCCCGGAGCCCGCGTGTTCCCTGCATTTCTGTTCGTCCGCTGCTCAGAGTGAGGACGGGCCCAGGGGAGGGAAGCCAACCCTGAGATGAGAGGCTGTGATTCTTTGCTCTGGGTGCTCAGGTTGTGGGCTGGGCTGTTCATTTCCCTGAGTGTCTCAGGGGTGGGGTGGGGGTGGCCAAGTCAGGAGAGGTTCCTGTGAACCGTCAGCCCTGTGGGGTCACCGTTTACCTGAGTCCTTGTATTTCCTGGAATATTGATTTATCCCCCTCACTTGGGGGGAGGGGGCGTTTGTGCAGTGTCTGGAAGCATGTTTTTTTTTTTCTTTTTGGGTCACACCCGGCAATGCACAGGGTTTACACCTGGCTCTGCACTTAGGAATTATTCCTGGCGGTGCTCAGGGGACCCTATGAGATGCTGGGAATCGAACCCAGGTCGGCCGCGTGCAAGGCAAATGCCTGGGCTATCGCTCCAGCCCCCTGGAAGCATTTTTGATGTCACAAGCTGAGAGGAGGGGCCGAGCTATTGGCAGCTGGGGGGTCAGGGCTGCTGAGCCCCCTAATATGCCCAGGACCTGGGATGACAGCAGGCAACCCCTTCCTTAGCAGAGCTGTTGACCCTGAGGTCAGGACATGGCCAGGCTGCGTGTGACCAAGACGAGGTCCAGCCTCCCAAACGGTGTTCAACAGTCCATGCTCACGCTGCAGTTTCTGTTCAAACGCCAGATCCAAGTGTGAGCCGTGGCGCTGCACACCTGAGCCGACGTGCAAGCAGCGAGTGTGTGTGTGTGTGCACATCTGTGGGCGTGTGTGCATGTGCACGTGCCTGCATGTGCACAAGTCTGCATGTGTATGTGTGTGTGTGTCGGCATGTATCTGTGTGTGCATGCGTGCATGTGGACGTTTGTGTGTGCACACGTTTGCTATGTGCGTGTGGGTGTGCCTGTGTGTGTGCGTGCATGTGTGTGCATGTGTATGTATGCACATGCCTGCGTGTGTTTGCATGTGTGTGTGCATGTGTGTGCGTGTGCACGTGTGTGCACACGCATGTGTATACATGGTGTGCACGTGTGTGTGTGGAAGGCAGGTAGGTGCTGAGAGAAGGCTGGTCCCAGCACGAGGCTCTGCAGGATGAAGGAAGGGGCTTCCCCACCTTGCTGCAGGTCTAATGCACCCCATTGCATCTGCCCCGTGTCTCCCAGCCCCGTGAGCCTTGGTTCCACATGTTAACCCCTTCCCGTGTCATGTCAGAGACGACCACTCCTGCCCCAGGAGAAGCAGCCCATGGGGGAAAATGGAACCAGGTCCTGGGGAGTGAAGGGAGGGTCCGCACTCTGCAGTGGGGCCAGTCATGGGTGTATGGTGCCAGGGTTGGGGGGCTGTTCAGGGAGAAGTTCAGGGGCCGCCTGGCCTGCAGGAGCTCACCTGACCGATGAAGAGACCTTTGTCCAGAACCACACATGGGGTTCTGACTCCCCCAGCAGTGCTCAGGATCCCGGAGGCCATGCGTGGTGATACTCAACCCGGAAGCCTGACAGTCGGGTGGCTCAGACCTGGGGGCACGTGGGCCAGTCAGCTCAGGACGGCCAAATTCAAGGCCTGCGCTCCTAGAGAATGGAACTTGCTGAGATGCTGGTGAAAGGAGGAGGAGGAGGAGGAGGAGGAAGAGGAAGAGGAGGGAGACGCTGGGAAATGGGAAGTGTCATTGTTGGATCCCTGAAGACACAGGAAGGGCAGAGCTGGGGAGAGACAGGTCCAATCAGAGGCGATGAGTGTGTGTGTACACATGTGTGTGCATGTGTGTGCATGTGCACATGTGTGCCTGTGTACATGTGTGAGTGCATACGTGTGCATGTATGTGTGTGCATGTGTGCATGCCTGTATACATGCGTGTGCGCATGCGTGCGTGTGCGTGTGCACAGGGACAGAGCTGAAGCAAAGCCAGTCCTGCCTCGCAGAGCATCGCAGCGGGACTCTTTGGAAGCTGCCTGCTGGGGGCAGAGGCTGGTCCCCTGGGGAGATCACTCTCCACTCTCTACTGTTTTTACAAGAAATTAAACCTCAAGTCGAAGGGCTCAACTTAATTTCATCCAAATGAGAACCAAGCAGGGCCGATGGCGGCTGGCCCGGCTGGGTGTTTGCAGCCACTACGCCAAGGAAGGACGAACGCCCCAGCAGTACTGAATAGTCATCAGAACAAACGGAGAGGAGGGGGCCCCCACAGGAAGAGCTGGGGATGGATGCATGCACTTCCCAGGGAACCCGGGCAGGGGGGAGAGGGGGACAGACAGGCATCCCGAAGTCCCCGCAGTTCAGGGAAGTAGCTGATGACAAGGCAAGGGAAGGTTTCCCAGAGGAGGACCAATTTTAGCTGCCTCTTAAGAATTTGTAGAATTTTACCGGGAAGAACTTCCTGGAGGTGGGGAGTCATATTCTTCTCAATACAAGTATAATTATACAGAATCTGAAAGCTCTTCGCTCACTGCCTGATAGATGTCAGCTCTCAATATAGACGCGCCATTAAAATATTATTGCCGATAATTTTTCTGCATTTGACTCCAGAAACGCCCTCACGCTACCCCCATCCCTCACCCCCCTCCCCGCTTGAAATGACTTCAGTCTTTTGCAACTCACAAGAATGAGCGATGTGATACCCAGTCCACGAGGCGTGAGGTCTTGGCTCGGAAATGAGCCAGCCGAGAGCTGCCGTGGGGGTGCCCCCCTAGGCCTCCCGGAATCGCGAGGGCAGGACCAGAATCATGCTGTAGCCGTTGGAGTGTCTCCCTGCTGGGGTCTCCTCTCCCTCGAGGTGATCACTGTTCGGCCTCAGGGGCTCCCGAAAGCCACGTGAGAATCACTTTTTCTGGTTTCTTTGGAGAATTGCATTATTGTGGGTCCCTATTCAGAGTCAGGCCTTCAAGCCAGGGCTCCGTCCAGCTAGCTGATGCTTTTTTGTCCTTCTGAGCAGTGCTCAGCGCTTCCTCCTGGCTCTGTGATCAGGAATC